TCTTCTTTTTCTTCTTTTTCTTTATTATTATTATTATTATTATTAGTACTACTACTACTAGTATTATTATTATTGTTGTTGTTGTTGTAGTATTATTATTTATAATTTATACAATTAATCTCCCTGTGGTTCAACCCCGGTCTTGCTGAGTTATTTATTACTTCGATACTCCTATACTTGAGAGAAGACATTAATCTTTTAGTCGTGTCATATTGAAATCTAAAATGGAATCAATGTATTAGAAACAATGATACAGATCACCTTCATAGTATGCTGATTGCTATTAATGACATTGAAGATAGAAAAATATAGGCTTTAGATGGTAAAGGACACTACATGGTTAAGTTGTGTTTTATTATCCTTGATATACTTATTTACCCAAGTTTGAAGACATATAATACAATCATTTGGAATGTGTTCTCCTTAAAACAATTGAGATACTATTATGATTATTAATGCATAACAAGTTATGCACTTGTTTATTTTTTTATAAAAAGAAAAATTATCATGATGCAGGAAATATACGTCCACCTTGTAATTCTAGGTTGGAAACTACAATCACATTCTTTTCTTTTCTTTTTGTCTGGTATCTTGGAGTCTATGGAATAAAATAGTTATCTCGTGAGGCATTTCATGGTGCATGCCTCATTTCTTGGATGATTTGTTTCAGCAATGGCAAGGTATGGCAATGATTCTTCCATGGAATAATTTGGCTTATTTGGCATAGTAACACTTTCATATTTGGAGCTACCAAGCTAGATTTGAATATGTTCCCCGTCTACTCTTTTACAGGGCTGCATCTTGGATTTGTTTTTATAAATATAGTTTTATTTATATTGGTATGGATTTCTTAAGAAATAGAGAGTGTATATATAGCGATATTGAGTAATTAGTGCCTATAACTTATAATTTTACTTTTCCACTTTAATTATTGTTTTATCTTTTCTTTGTTTTGCTGAATCTCCATCTTCTAAATGACTAGCTTAATAAATTCACTTGGTAATCATTAAAAAAGAAAAAAGAAAACACACAGTACGAGTTATAAAAAAATAATAAAAAATAGTAATTAGCTTAATATAAAATATCCGGATATTTAATTTTAAGAAATATCTTCATGTTTCTACGTGTTTTGCCTTTCAAATTCCTACCGTTCACGTTCCTCGTCTTAGGGGCAACTCTTGAGACGTGCAATAATTCTACGATTTAAAATCTTTTGGCTTACAAATGCTTTATCTCAATTACTTTCCCGAAACAATCTTGAGTATCTCCACACCACCAAATCTTTTTAGTTTCCTATAGTCTTGCTGTGATGTCTTTTCTAGGGTTTTTTAATTTAGGGACCTAGTTCACAATATTATCCCTAATCAATCTGGATAATCAATTATGTCCTTAACATTATTTAACATTTTCAATGGCGCTCTTCCCCCAGAGTCTGCTACAAACAATTAACAAGATCATCAAATATCTTATGTGACATGCAATTAGTGTCTTTTAAGTAAGGGAAACAGAGGAAAAACACGTTCAAAATCTCCGGGTTCATTCTAATATCCAGAAGAAGAAGAAGAAATGTACAATTAATTGTTTGATATTAGGATGAAATTGCATATTTTAGATTGTTTTCCCTTCAATTTGTAGACTTAATAAAACAAAGATGCTGCACATGAGTTATTTTGTTTACTATTTTTAAGAGAGATGGGGTGGAAGGGCGACTTTGGAAACATCAGGTTACTTTTAAGGAAGAATTTGATTGCTGCTCGAATTAATGAAGGGTATTAACTTTAGGGCAATTTTGCAACTAACCTTAAATTTTACGACTCTATAAAACAATGTCATCTTTACCATTAAACTATTAGGTGAAAGCTTGATATACCTATCACGCATAAAATCTTATTAGGGTTAATCACTTGGTGAACAAACTAACGACAGTAGCTGTCTTTTTATCCGGCTGGGGACCATAAACTTTGCAGTCTAGGGTGGGAATCAGGACAATGAAACTGTTTCTCGTGATGCCCACATAATTTTCTGCTTGTTCTCAGAGTGTAAGAGACATATCTCTCTCTCTTCCTATATGAAATTAAAGAACCCTAGGACATCAATGACAATAATTCACCACGGCCTTGTTACTGCTTCGTAAAATAAGGAAATATGTTTTCTCCGTACGCTTAACTGCAATGGGGTTCGTATCCATTGAACTTTTAAGTTAATGGATACTTATCTCAATGGCCTAGTTGAAACATAAATGATGAGTTTGTTTTTAATTTGCTTGGTATCAGAAATGGGGTAGCCTTTTGCTTTATATATTAATTACTGGCGCTTGAGCTGTTCTTGAAAGCAGCAGAAGGCAAGTTTGATTTTAGGGTTATGATATGTTGTTAGGGTTTCTTGTTTCGATACGATAATGATATAAAGCAGAGCTCAGCTTTTGACTGGTGCAACAGAAGTAGTCCATTAGAGCTCAATAATTTCGGTGAAGGTGACATTTTCTAGATTGTTAAGGTACGCAGCTGATCGGAATGAAGAGAAGTTGCAACTCTCTGGTGTCTATTGGTCTCTTCACACAATCACGCACACAAAGATTTGATAAATTTTATTTTTTCCGTATGAATTTGGCCCTATATTCATTTCTATATAATATCCATATATATGCATGTTAATGAGTTTGAGTTTTGATTTTTGCGAGTTACTGTGCAACAAGTATAATCAAGAGAGTAATATAAAATTGAATGCTCCAACATTTATTATATATCCTACCGATATTGTTTTCAACCAAACCCTAGAACTAAATTAGACTTTTAATTTGAGGCTGTTAATTTAGATAGTTAATGGCTGCTCAATTAACTAAAGTCTTCCATTTTGGTTGCGCAAGGTGGACATGCCCTTTTTGCTGGTTTCTCTTCATTATTCAGGAATATCCATCAGTATTACAAGATCACACACATACGTAACAGGCAATCCATATTGATTTAATTTTTACATTAAGCTAATTGAAATTAAACCTCTTGAGTACTTACTGTATAACTTCAACTTGGATCTGCAGTGCAAATCTCTCTGCCGTGTGGTCCTTCATTGCTACTGGGTGTAGATGCTTTAAAGAACCTACATTGGTCCCTCCTCTAAGGGCAGATAGCTAGCTATGCACCACCTAATCCAGCTGATGAAACTTCAGTAGCATACACCACAACTTTTTAAGTCCCATGACTATGACTTATCTAATAGTAATTCTGATCATAACCTAATTAATTAATGAAAATCACATTGGATTTAAATCTAATAATGAATTATGGCGGGAGAATAATATGAAATTATAGCGGAAGAACTTAAGCTTTATGTTGAAATGGTTCCCTTTCCTTTCGTGCATCATGGACGGATAAAGTTATTTAACATGATATTAAAATTTTAATAATTAAATAATCACAAATCTAAATCTCAATATCTTCATTCTTTCTAGATAAAAATTAGATAAAGAAGTATAAGATAATAGTGTTTATATTAGATTCAAATCTAAAAAGTTTTTATTTTAGAAAGTATATTAGAGATTAATATACAAAGTCATTTTAAAACATCATTCAACAATTTAAGTGTTTTAATTGAGATATTTATTTAATAATTTAAAATTTTCAAATAAAAGGTTACTCTATAAATGCCGTAAGATTATAACCAATGTTAAATTAAGTAGTGTCATTTAGCTTAAACATCCCACCCTCTGCAAATTTGTTACCATTTGAATAAAAATATTCAACTCATCATTGAATATATAACCCAAAATTGGAATTATATACTGATTTGTCCAAAAAAAATAAAATTGATAATAATACAGTAAATTAATGTAAAAAATAATGGTTCAATAGCATGCTTTCTTTTTATTCAGCTAGGCATGCATTAAAAAGCTAGCTATTTGTAGTTGTGAATAAAGCACAAGCCCTCTTTTTCTATTTTGTGTTGGATGGTCCCCATGAAAATTAACTCATAAACTTGAAATGTAAACAACAAAGATGATCAACCAGACTTAAAAATAATTTCCAATCCACTAGTTTTCGTTTTGTGCTATAAATAACTTTAATTATTTTTCTTTTACATATGACTAATTAAGTCTAATAAATTAAATTGCTATATTAAACTTTAAGGGGATGGCCTCATGGTTAAGGAAGTTTTTTTAAAAAAAAGGATGGCCTCATGGTTAAGGAAGTTTTTTTTTTAAATTTAAATTTTGAGGCTAAAATCTATAAAATTTGATTAAATTCTTCTAAATAAAACAGGTGGACAACGCGTTTTTAAAATAATTTGAAAAATAATTTAATCTTCAGTGATATGCAAAATAGTTCAAGAACATCCTAACCATTCAACTAAAAAACATTCTGACTCTACATGGACATCACATGGCCACAAATGTGCCATATACACCTTTTTATCCCTAATATACATTCCATAAAGCATGGCTTAGTAAAATTCCAGCATCTTTGTAGTTCTTTCTCAAAATTAGGAGTTTATGCAAATAAGGTAGATATATATTCTTGACAAATCGCAAAAAAAATAAATTTGATGCAAGTTTAACAGAACCTCCTCCACACAAGCTAGGCCGTTAAATTAAAGAAAGGACTCTCAAATGGTGCTGTTGTTGTCTTCTCTGATTGCCCCTCCTCTTCCTCCCTAGAGAAGCTGAACAGATATACATGGAAGCCTACAGTTTCCTGCTTGATGTAAGTTAAACTCTCGTATATTCCTAAAATAGGCGATATATTCATGGTAAACTTTTCCAAATATATGTTTGTTATTCCAATATAATTCTAGTTCTCTTTTGCTTGATTTCATCTCCATATATGAAGGACAGTAGATATTGTATAAATATAAAATTTAGATTTCCATTGTCTCCATATTCAACTCAACCCTAGATTCAATTCAACTACTACTTCATAGAATCCTTATACATGATAGTTCTCAAGTTCTTATTGAATTTCAAATAACATACCCAAAAAAAGAAAAAAGAAAAAGGTTTTCGATGCACTAAATTCTTTCCTGCAATTGCATATATAGTATTATTGTTCATGTCTGAGAAACATCTTTCATCTTTGTATTGATAAAGAAAAATATTTCTTCTTTAAGGATTGTGAAAATCATTGGTTTTTCAGAATAACTGATTATGTTAATGTACTACTGATTGATCAGACGTAGATGCTACCTTGCAAAAGTACTATATACTCAATAGTGTGATCAAGAATCAAGGTAAGATGATTTCAAATTCAGAAGATATGGATTTGCAAGGAAAACAAGCAGGTGGATGCGGCAGTGAGGCCGACAAGATTTCCGAGGCAACATCATCCACTTCATCAAGACAATGGTCAGCATTTAGAAATCCAAGGATTGTTCGCGTCTCCCGGTCTTTTGGAGGAAAAGATAGGCATAGCAAGGTTTGCACAGTAAGGGGACTGAGGGACCGGCGAATTAGGCTTTCTGTACCCACAGCCATTCAGTTATATGATCTTCAAGATAGGCTTGGCCTTAGTCAGCCTAGCAAGGTAATAGATTGGTTGCTTGATGCCACTAAAACTGATATCGATAAGTTGCCTCCACTTCAGATGCCTCCAGGGTTTGGTCAGTTCCACCAGCCAGTGCTATTTTCTCATCAATCAAATATTGCATCTCCCTTCTTTGATCCCAATTCTACGTTTATCAAGGACGTAGGATATAATTCATTAGGGATAAAGATCGATACTGGTACTGCTGGTCTTGATGGGCAGGTTCAAAACAGTAGTACTACTATGCCAAGATCAAGCTATAGCAGGGATATAGAAGCTTCAATAAGAGCAAAAAGCAAGCAAGATGGCACTATTACTGAAAAAGGAAAGTCCATAAAAACAAATGAAGATGGAGAAATTGGAAGTTACAGTTCTACTGGACAGGTCCCCGCTCAAAATTTCTTTCCTTCAGCCAATCGTTCTACCATACCAAGCTTGCTATACAATTCTACTGTGCCCTTCAACTCCTATCATTGGGATGCTTCGAATTTATCTCTATCTACACAATTTGGAAGCCATGGATTTATCTCTCAAACAGAAAATTCCTTGGACACCCCATCATCACTACCTCTCTCTTCTGGCTCTCAATTATTTTTCTGCCCACCTCCACCAATGCCATCTCTCTTTCCATCCTATCGTCCTTGTGTTATCACTCCCTCAGAGAATGAGTCCAGAGATATGAACCATTTCCAATTATTGAGCTCAAGTTCGTCACAGCATATCTTACCGATTTCTCTGACAATGAACTCAACAACAAAACCTTTTTCCTTGAATCTAAATCCTGGGCTTCTTCGTTTGCAAAAAAATAACGAAAGCAATCCTGATGAAGATGATGCAGAATCATAAATATCACCCTGCATGGCTGGGTTTTTTCTTTACTTGGTTCAAGGATGGATGTTGAAAGCAGACTATATAAACATGTACCTCAGCAGGTCGTCAAGTGATCAGAGTACAGTGAGAGTTTAAAGCTCATCGAGCTATCACATTATTATGTTCTCTTGTGTTACCCTCTAAACATCTTGCAGACACATGCAATCAAACGTTGTAAGATGCTACCTTACAGCATGAATTATTTCCTATCCGTACGCGGATTCAAGCTATATATGACAATACAAGTAAGACACTAGACACTTCTATCTTCCTGTAGCTTGATATGCAAGTATTTATTTAGCAGACAGTACTTTTGTCTATATATATAAACTATGTTCTTTTAAGTTTCTGTAAAAGTTACTAAAACGAAAACCAAGTATGATGTGCTTTGAGTTACAACCTTTGGATTTTACATACCTGAGTTGCAGAAACATTATAGCATATTCCTCTTGTATTTTTGCACTTATGATCAATTTTTACATCTTTTCTTCAAGGCCTCTTTCCTCCAGCTAGACCCAATTTTGCATCATTTATCTTAGGGTGCGACGAGCTACCAATTGGAAGTGCATGGCTGAGTGTTTAGCCCTTATTGATAGTTTGGAACATTGCTTTGGCTAAATAAGAAGCTGTGCCTTCACAGTAAGGCATGGTCCAATGGCTAATTAAAGACTTTATCGGAGGTCCTGAGTTGGAGCACAACTCATGTTTAAATCATCACCCCACTTCCAAGCATCACACAAAAGGACTCGTGTCTTCTGATCCAGTAGTCAAATATTATGCCGTCAATGGCGAATATTTCTTTTTTGTCTCAATAGTCAGCTAAAATAATTAGATTAAGTATAAGAGGTTACTATTTTAATTATTTTTACGAGCATAAATTGTGTTTGGAAAATAAATTATGTGTAAAACATTTTGCTAAGAAAATGAAGTACTTTTGTGATGTTTGGTTTATTACAACATGTTAGGTTTTTCAAAACACACACATACATACATACATACATACATACATATATATATATATATATATATATATGCAGTAAAAACAATAAGTTTAAAATTTTTTAAGAAGTCCAAGGATCTTAAATAGATTTTGAGTTGTTTAGGATTTATACAAAAATTTCCTGAAAATCATATTTTTTTTCAACTTTAAATATTTGCTTCGAGATTTGTTTATTATAAACACAAACTGTTTAATTATCCAATCTCTAATGATAATTTACACGAACTACCAATAGAAAATCTCCTAAACCATTTTAGAAAAAAGAGATTACTATACCTTAAAGTGCTAGCTTTCTTCTTTATATTTTAGATGTTTTCATATTGTACTCTAGCTAACATCATATTTGAGAAATAAGATGCATAATATTCTATTCATACATAAATCTAAAACTCTATAAATGACAAAATATTAATTTGTTCCTTAAATAATATCACATATATTATTTTAGGCTAATTTTAGAAATTTATCTATTCAAGTCTTTGATTGTTTTTAAGTCTAGAATTATAATCTCATATATTAATTATATGTTAGTCCTCAATTTTAAAAATTTATTTACAATCAACTTATACTTCATTAATTATCTCATTTTAATTTCTGACCAAAAATTCTTACGTGTATGACCCATTAGGTTTCCTAATAAATTAGTTCAAATATAAATCATGATCCTAAATAAAATAAAATTAAATAAATTAAATAAATTAATTTATTATCAATTCAATAATCGATTGATTTATGTCAAAAGAATAAATACAATGTCTAGTAACCTATCATGATCCCCTAAATATTAGTATAATTTAGTGTAATTATTATCCATAATAAGTCATAAGTGGTTTGATTTAATATTTCTATGACTAGTTTCATAGTGTAATTATTATCTATTCATTAACAATGTTCTAATTTAGACATTATAATATGAAATGTATCTACTATGTCAAATTATGTTTGTTATCAACACCATAATCATTGAATATTTAAATACGATTTAAAAATCTTTTCAAATCTCATTCCATCTTTTGCAATGATTTACAATCAATACTATTTGAAAATAGATTGAATATTTTTTTTAATTCACTAAGGATAATGAATCCTCTCTTGATTACTTAATATCTTTATATAGTTTATGTTATACTTAATATCAATCCATTTGCTACCCTTGATTAAAATAATATGTTGCAAGTTCAAAATATAACATTCTCTATATAAGATAATATAGTAATATTAACTTTAATGATTACTTGCACAATTGTCACTTAAGTCTTTCCATAAACAAATGTAATCTCTTCATATAAAATTTTTATATGGATCAATTCAGTATATATATCATTTGACTTGCACTTATATATTATTTGTAGGTATCTCTCATACCTTAGTTTATGAAAACAACTACTTCTTTTAATAATAAAAAAATATAGTATTTATTAGTCTCAACAACTCTAATTAATGTCTAGTATTAATAGAGCATTAATTAGGAATATTAAGTAATAATATTTTGATCTAATAGAAATCTCATAATTATAACAATTTTATAATTTCATTTGCAAAACATTTTTGTCTCATGAACTTTATATTTACTATAGATTTATTAATTATATATTTGATGAATATTAAAGATAAATAAGCCTTTATTAATAAACTAAAAGTATATACATGAACAAAGTCAATGCCACTTGTAATTAACTGATTGATCACAAGACATATACACTAATAATTTCTCACTTGCACTAAAGTAAATCATTTATGTATCAAGTATCATATCGCTCTACTTAACAATAATGCCCACTTCCAAGCATCACACAAAAGGACTCATGTCTTCTGATCCAGTAGTCAAATATAATGCCGTCAATGGTATTTCTTTTTTGTCTCAATAGTCAGCTAAAACAATTAGATTAAGTATAAGAGGATTACTATTTTAATTATTTTTACGAGCATAAATTGTGTTTGGAAAATAAATTATGTGTAAAACATTTTGCTAAGAAAATGAACTACTTTTGTGATGTTTGGTTTATTACAACATGTTGGGTTTTTCAAAACACACACACCCACACACACACACACACATATATATATATATATATGCAGTAAAAACAACAAGTTTAAAATTTTTAAAAAAATCCAAGGATCTTGTTAAATAGATTTAGAGTTGTTTAGTATTTATACAAAAATTTATTGAAAATTATATTTTTTTTTCAACTTTAAATATTTGTTTCGAGATTTGTTTATTACAAACACAAACTGTTTAATTATCCGATTTCTAATGATAATCCACACGAACCATCAATTAGAAATCTCCTAAACCATTTTAGAAGAAAGAGATTATTATACCTTAAAGTGCTAGCTTTTTTCTTTATATTTTAGATGTTTCCATATTGTACTCTAGTTAACATCATATTTGAGAAAATAAGACGCATAATATTCTGTTCATAAATAAATCTAAAACTCTATAAATGACAAAATATTAATTTGTCCCTTAAATAATATCATGCATATTATTTTAGGCTAATTTTAGAAATTTATCTATTCAAGTCTTTGATTGTTTTTAAGTCTAGAATTATAATCTCATATATTAATTATATGTTAGTCCTTAATTTTAAAAATTTATGACCCATTAGGTTTCCTAATAAATTAGTTCAAATATAAATCATGATCCTAAATAAAATAGGATTAAATAAATTAAACAAATTAATTTATTATTCAATAATTGATTGATTTATGTTTGAAGAATAAATACAATGTCTAGTAACCTATCATGATCCTCTAAATATTAGTATAACTTAGTGTAATTATTATCCCTAATAAGTCATAAGTGATTTAATTTAACATTTTCGTGACTAGTTTCATAATGTAATTATTATCTATTCATTAACAATGTTCTAATTTAGACATTATAATATGAAATGTATCTACTATGTCAAATTATGTTTGTCATCAACACCATAATCATTGAATATTTAAATACGATTTAAAAATCTTTTCAAATCTCATTCCATCTTTTGCAATGATTTACAATCAATACTATTTGAAAATAGATTGAATATTTTTTTTAATTCACTAAGGATAATGAATCCTCTCTTGATTACTTAATATCTTTATATAGTTTATGTTATACTTAATATCAATCCATTTGCTACCTTTGATTAAAACAATGTGTTGCAGGTTCAAAACATAACACTCTCTATATAAGATAATATAGTAATCTTAACTTTAATGATTACTTGCACAACCGTCACATAAATCTTTCCATAAACAAATGTGATCTCTCCATATAAAATTTTTATATGGATCAATTTAGTATATATATCATTTGACTTGTACTTATATATTATTTGTAGGTATCCCTCATACCTTAGTTTATCAAAACAACTACTTCTTTTAATAAAAAAAAAAACATAGTATTTATCAGTCTCAACAACTCTAATTAATGTCTAGTCTTAATAGAGCATTAATTAGGAATATTAAGTAATAATATTTTGATGTAATAGAAATCTCATAATTATAACAATTTTATGATTTCATTTGCAAAACATTTTTGTCTCATGAACTTTATATTTACTATAGATTTATTAATTATATATTTGATAAATATTAGAGATAAATAAGTCTTTATTAATAAACTAAAAATATATACATGAACACAGTCAATGCCACTTGTAATTAACTGATTGATCATAAGGCATATGCACTAATAATTTCTCACTTGCATTAAAGTAAATCACTTATGTATCAAGTATCATATCGCTCTATTTAACAATAATACTTTTACTAGGACAATAATTTAGTAAGATGATCTATAAAATTTACTTTAGTATGTACTAGCTCTATCCTTACATCTTTGTTTATGTGATTTTCTTATCAAATAGAATTGTCTAAGTACATCTTTAGATCATGAATGAGACAATAATTCTAGGAACCACATCTAGTTCATTAATGAACTTCTTGATAAATAAAAAAAACCTCTTTTATCTCTTTAAATGCAGAAAAATACTCAACTTTAATTATAGAATATAATTTGATCTCTTATTTGGAACTCTTCCAACTTACAACACCATTATTTAAAGTAAAATACAACTAGAGAATTTCTATTTTCAATATCTTATTGAAAACTATTATCTAAATAACTATGAACTATTAGTTCATCTTCTTTACAGATTATAAAAACATTTTTAATTCTTCTTAAGTATTTAAAAATATTTTCTAGTAACTCTCACTTGTATGAGATTGATATCTACTTGTTATGTTAAAAGCATAAGATACATCTGGTATTGTATATATTATTGCATATATTATGAATCCTATATATAAAATATATGAAATCATTTCCATCATATCTCTCTCAATTTGTGTTTTATGACACATTTCTTTGGAGATATGTATATATGCAAAATAGATAAGTATCTCTTTTGAATTCTTCAATGCT